TACCACCTCAGAAACCCAAGGAGGGATCACTATGAGTCAGATCTGACTCGATGGCAATGAGTTTGATTTTGGTTTTTGGTGTTGTGTAAGGAATCAGGATCCACTGCCTGGCAGACTTTGCTATGTGGACTGGCTATTTTGTTGCAGGACCTCCAAATGTCAGAATGCCAAGACTTTTTGTACAGGGCCGTTCAATTTCTCCAATCAAAAAACAAACAAACAAACAAAAAACACCTAAGATCCCTTTTCTAGGATCTAGTGGCCTAAAACTCTGTATAGGGATGAAGTTTTGACTTTCAATTCTGTATTGCCTATTTCAGCATCACATTTTCTATCTTTCTTAATTAAACTAGTACATCGGAGTCCCAAGCCTCTCCTTAGATTCTAGGCTATATGTGTTTTCAGAAGTATTTTGGGCTATGGTATCCTTTATCCTGCTTCACCAGCTCCCTCCTCACTCCCACCTCAACCCCATCATTCTCCATCTTCTAAAATTTCAGATGAAAAACATAAGACCTCAAGAGTTGTGAAAGTAACTCAGGGTCACACAGTATTACCTCTTCTAAAAGAAATGTTTATGCTAATTTAATAAAAAATAGTTGTTAAAGCATGAGTAACTAATTGCCAATGTTGTCCACGGAGAATGAAAATGCAAGGGTAAGATAACTATATCATGTAACACGGTATTATCAAAGATAGTATTTGAAGAATTATAGCTGCAAAATCTGGATTCCTTCATAAAAATTCCCAGAAGTTCAGGAATTTCTAGAATGCATATGTGAATTCAAAGCCTATGACTTAAGGATTTGGATTCCAAATTCACATATTTGCTATACATTGCTGCTGATGCTGCCTGTAGATTGTAGATTCTGCAACAGGACTGGTTCTTCCTGGTTCAGTCATGGCCAATGCAACAAAACTAGAATGAACCTAAGTTTGTAAAATATGGGTGAACCAGACAGTAACCAAAATGGGAAAATTACAGGTCGATGCCCTGCTACTAACTTAAATCTCCCTTTTAGAAGACAAAGGCAAAGTGCATGCAATACAGCAACCAAATCTCTGAACCGGCAGAGACAGGAATAGTGGGGCTCCTGTCAAAGATGGTGGCTGATCATGCCGCTTTGAATGTGTGTCACTCTTTATAAAACCAAAACCAAACTCACTGCTGTTGAGTCAAATCTGACTCATAGCGACCCCTCCTTGGGTTTCCGAGGCAGTATCACTATGGAAGTAGATTGCCCAACCTTCCTTCTGAGGAGTGGCTGGTGGGTTTGAACTGCCAGCCTTCTGGTTAGCAGTCAAATGCCTTAAGTACTACACCACCAGAGCTCCTGTCACTTTCTATCGTGCTGACAATAAACCGATCTCCCTCATCCGGTCTCCTGAAAGGCCTCATTATTGTCTCCTCTGAATCTCTCATTCCAGGGCTTTGATCCATAATTTTTCCCATTCTGGTTATCATTTTGCTTAACTAAATTTTAAAAATTTGGGTCTGTTCCAATTTCACTTTGTTGGCCATGGTGAACTCCTTTGAACTGTTTCGAAACCCTGTTCTGGAATGCACTCTCCTTGATAAAAAGGCAAATTACAGGTTTTAAAAAGGATTCTTAATTTGAGGCTTTCTCCTTGCTGTAATTCAAAGAACTCAAGCAGCATTTGTAGGAGATGTGGATGGCTTTCAGAAACAACAGTGTTAGAAACAATCTTGACTCAGAATTTTGGGGTTCTTAAGCATATAACAACAACAACAACAACAATAATGCTATAGAAGAAAAAGGCTCAAAATGGAAACAGAAAACCCCAGATCTGACACTAGTGCATCACTAACCGGGGCTGTAATCAGAGGCAAAAACACTTAATTTTTTTTAGTTTTGTTTCCACATCTATAAAATGAGGATACCCTCGGTGATCCCAACGTTCCTTTCTAGCTATAAAATTCTAAGAGTGTGAAAGGTATCCTATATTTCAGTCTCTGGGAAAGCTCCAGGTATGAACAGTTGGCTTTATCAAGGTCCAAATGTCCTTTTGTTCTCTTATCCTTCTGAGGTAAGCATTGGGCAAAACCTGTATTTCTTTGAAACCTCCTTCCCTCCTTCATTCCCCACCTTCATATCCAATCTGTAACAAAACCATATTGTTCCTTTTTTATGTTTCATCACTTTTACTTCTCCATCCACACTTCCAACACTTTACTACAGGACCTTATGTCTAAAGAAGAGGAACAAAGAACTACTCTTCAAATGTTCCTCTCAGAGTACGCACTGCCATGGAGTCAAATCTGACTCATAGTGACCCTTCCTTGGGTTTCCGAGGCTGTATCACTACTGAAGTAGATTGCCCAACCTTCCTTCTGAGGAGTGGCTGGTGGGTTTGAACCACCAGCCAGCCTTCTGGTTAGCAGTCAAATGATTTACGTACTATGCTACCAGAGCTCCCTTCCAGAGTATAGTCAGCTTCTACTGAGGTCCATTCTGCTCCATTGTTAAGATTTACATACCAACAGAAGTGATCCTTGATTTCTTTCTCTCACACTCCATATTCAATCTGTCATCAAATCCTGTTTATTCTGCCTTTAAAATATATCCAAAAATCTGACCACTTCTCATCATTTCCATCTCCACTGCTATCATGCTGAACTAAGTCAGAAATATCTTCTGATTGGTCTCCTTGTTTTTGTCTTTGTCCCTATTCAGTGAATTCTTCAACTGTATCCACAGTGATCCTATTAAAACATTAAGTCAGATCATGTCATTTCTGCACTCAAAGTGAAATCCCTTACAATGATCTATGAGGCCCCATATGTATGTCCTAGCCATTGTTACCTTTCTAACCTCATTTATACCTTTCTAACCTCATTCATTTCCTACTACTCTCCCCCTGGCCTCCCTCTGCTCCAGCTACACAGACCTCTTTATTGTTTCTCCAGCTGCCTAGGAACATGACCACTTGCAATGACTTCATACTTTTTAGAGGAACATTCTTCCTCTAGATAGCTGCATAGCCAATTTCTTTAATTCCAATGTCATCTTCTCATGAAGCCTTCTCTAGTTACTGTGTCACTCTGCCTAAAATCGCAAATACTTTGTTTCCACCTCCTTATCACCATCTAACATACTATGTTTTAGTTATTTTCCTTCTTTATTATATCTGTCTTCCCCATGACAGTAAGAACTTTTGTCTGTTTTGTAGATTGCTGTATCCCAAGCACCTAGAACAGTGCCTGGCATAGTGGGTGCTCAGTAAGTATTTGTTGGTTATTTAATTAATTGTGGGAGATTGGTAGCAAGGGAACATAACATGAGGCAAAGATGGAAACAAAACATAAAAAACCAAACTCACTGCTGTTGAGGTGGGTTTGAACCACCAGCCTTCTGGTTACCAGTCAAATGTCTTAGGCACTATGCCACCAGAACTCCCACAAAGATGGGAAGAGGCACTAAATAAAAAAATGTCATTCACTTTTTCAAACAAAATCTCTCCATCTTCCTAATCTTGTGTAGTAGAAAATTCCATACTTTTTGTTAACTCTGTTGTATGTTTTCAGTCTCTTGTGAGATGTTTTAGGTATCTCAGAGAAAGCATTCTTTATTATTAAAGGCTTAATTTGGTCACTAGGGGACATATCGCACTGCCACTGGCAGTTCTAGTTAGTTACATGGAAGAAAGTAGGAGCTACTACTCTAGACTGAAAATTCCAGGTCCTAACCTTTAATGCTCAAAGCCAATAAAATTCTAATATTTAATTCCAAGAACAAATATGTGGCTATTAAATATAGTAATAATAACCTAAACCCACTAACATCCAGTGATTCCAACTCATAGCGACCCCCATAGGGTTTTCAAGGCTGTAAATCTTTAGGGAAGTAGATTGACTCATCTTCCTCCCATGGAGTTCCTGGTGGGTTTGAACCCTTGACCTCCTGGTTAGTAGCCAAATGCCTTATCCACTGTGCCACGAGAGCTCCTTATACTAGTAATAGTGATGATGAACTAATATAATATGCTTTCATCAAACATATGTTAAAAGGTTAATTTATGTTAAATTAAAAAACTCATTGTTTTTCCCTCCATTTCTTCCTTCATAAGAAGGAGCGCTGGTAGATAATAAATTTATAATTGTTTAATTATTGAAAAGGTTAATATTTTCAGTTAAAGGGCATCTAGAATTTTGGTGTTACTAGCCTGGGGTTGTGGTCTGTCAACCGTATTCTTACTCTGTGTTATTTGTTGTTGTTGACAGAAGAGTGGTGGATTCTGTTATTAGGGACCTGAATTTACCAGCCTAGGACATTCCAAGAGGGACTCATCACTCCCCGACGATGATCGAAACGCGTCTAGGAGGCGTCACTGCCTTCAACGCCCCGAGAAAAAAATCTGTGGGAAGCAGGACTCCACTGCGTGAGCGCGGGATGGCCTCCCGCACGCCGGCTAGCTCTGTCTCTCGCCAGCCCCTGTCCGAGGGATATGGTTCTCGCTGAAGATGTTTGAAGACAATAGCTCCTCCTCCGGGGAGACTGTGGGACCGGTCTGTTAACTGAGGCGCTGGCGTCCAGCAGTCGGAGCCGCGCCCGGGAGCTGCGGTGGGGGAGGGGTGGCGGCAGCGGCTCGCGCAGCGTCGAGTATCCCAGAATTCCCAGTGGCTGTGGGGAAAGTTTACGGGACGTAGGCGGTAGCGGCGGCGGCGGCCACGGCGTTAGCGGTTATTAGCTGGCGACCGGCGGACCATGGCCCTGGCCCGGCTTCCTTGGCCTTTCCTCACGGTGTCCCTGGGCAGCGTCGCCGAGCGGGCAGACTTCCGGGAAGGACTTGACATGCGGTTGAGCAGCGACCGGCGCGCTTAGCGCCCTGAACATGCGGCATTCCCTGCGGTCAACCCCGGGCTGCGGAGAGGCGGCGGCGGCGGCGGTGCCGGGAGGGGTGGCGGTGGAGACGAGCCGGGCCTGGCGCGGAGCCCTAGAGGAGGTTACTTGGCCTGGACTCGGGTCTCACCAAGAAGGATGCTGTCCCGAAAGAAAACGAAAAACGAAGTGTCCAAGCCGACCGAGGTGCAGGGGAAGTACGTGAAGAAGGAGACATCGCCTATGCTACGGAGTGAGTGTCGGGCGGGGCGCACCCACCTGGCCGGGGCAGCCACGGGACCCGGGCGGGGGCGCCAGTCGAGGCTTGTTAGAGCCCAGCGCGTCTCCCCACGCGTCCTTATTCCTGTTGGCCTCTGTGAAGAACTGGTTTCCTAATTTCTTGTGCATGAAGTGGTGTTCTTTCTTTGAAAGGCTATAAGTAAGAACCTGAGGTTTGCCGCCTCCCCCTCCCCGCCCTTGAAGAGAGCCCCTAAAAATACCAAATCTCCACGCCCTCCCCGTGGCATTGTTGTTTGTTTTGATTACTGGAAGGGACTCCAGGAAACAAATTGCCGATGCGCTGACGTTTTAGGAGTAAAAGTGATTAGACTGGGACACTTTTCCTCGGTTAGACACAGTACGTCAAGATGTGCGTTGTGTTTGCCAACTTTGCCAGTGTCACTCGTCGGTGCTGGAAGTTATGTGATCCTTGCGACAAAATTCTTTCGCTCTGCTGCTGAAGGCAGAGACGAAGAGGTGAAAAGCAGACTGTCGCTGCTGTGGCCGCTACCCAAAGCCTCATGCCTTTTAGATCTCAGAGCAGAGGAGCCAAAATCATTTGTTTGGCTATATTAGTGAGGATTTTTAAGCTGTGTTTCCAATAAAGGCCTGCACACCAAAATCCAAACCCACTATAATATAGTTGATTCCAACTCATAGCGGCCGTGTAGGACAAAGTAGAACCGCCCCACAGAATTTCAGAGGCTGTAATCTTCGCGGAAGCAGACTACCACATCTTTCTCCCGCAGAGCTTTGGTTTAACAGTCGAGCGCTTTAACCACTGCTCCAACAGAGCTTCCTATAAAGACCCTCCCCTAGGGTCTCCAAAAAGGCAAAGAAATTCAAAATGAATTATACCTAATTTTGGGAAAATTACTAAAAAATACATAATTTTTTAACTTTATTGGAGTGTTACTCTCCACCTCTCCCTTTCTCCTCAGTTTAAATACTTGACTCTTACTTTCGAGCTGAATCTTTTTAATTTTTACCTTTTGTTTTTGTGTTCTGAATCTTTGTGAAGTAAGGAGCTAATATTTTGGTGCTTCAATGTGTGCTTGTTCCTTTGTGTAAGTTTCCTTCTTGGACCAAGTAGTAACCTTGTGACTTAGTTATTACCTCATTTTATAGTTACAAGAGCTTTTCATAGAGGTTCTGAGTACTTCCCAGAATCACAGAGAAAAGGGTGGAGAGCATGTTTTTCTATTACAATTCCATTTTCACATGTTGAGATGTATTGTAGATAGAACTGTATTTGCAATGCTTTCTGATAGAGCAACAAAATAGATCTAATGGGGGTGCATCAGTATCCTAAAATTTGATCTTTAAACCCTTTTTTAACAACTTCTTTTCAGTTATATATGTTAGATTCTTGGTTAAATTTTTAAATAATAACTTGCAGTTTGCTGCAAATTAAGTTTATCAAACACTAAGTTATGAAATACGTTTGCTTTGCCTTTAAGCAATTAATTTTTGATGTAATAATTTTTGTTTTTGTTTCAAGTATTAATCTGATTTATTCTGACCAGTGTTAGCTTCTGAAGGTTATTATTATGAAAGCTCTCGAATAAGTTTATAAAATGAACTATTAAAAGGCAGCTTCCTTCATGTTTTAGAAGTATTTGTTTCCTGAGACTATCTAAGGTATTTTCTAGTGTGGTATTCAGAAGTACTATATCCTGAAAGCTATTGTTCTAGCGTTATCTTCTGTTTTTAATTATAATTACTTGCTCTTAAAGGAGCCATAGTTTCAGGCTTGGTGTTTCTTAACAGATCCAACATTTGTGTGCTTTTTTGATTGTTTTATGTTTAATTTTCATACCTGAAATTATAACTTTCAAACTTTTGATTACTAGTTCTGGTAATTTCAAGAGTAGGAAGACAGGATTAATAATTTAAATATCTATTTAAAGGAATACTTTGACATGTTTGGGAAGTAGCATTATGTTCTGTTTTATCTTTGAAATTCTGTTTGCATGAAGAAGCATTTTTTAGCAGTTTATAAGCAAAATACACTAGAAGCTTATATAAATTATACTGATAACGGCATGTAGGTTTGTCAGATTGTTTACTGTTTCCTATTTTTACACAATAATTCATGAGTCTTTCATTCAATACAGGTTCATTTTTAAATTTATTGGCATTTCATCATGTCATATGGTAGTATGTAGACTACAGGAGCTCTTTGGTGGTGCAGTGGTTAAAGTGCTTGGCTGCTAACTGGAAAGTTGGTGGTTTGAACCCACCAGCCACTCTGCTAGAGAAAGATGTGGAACTCTGCTTCTTAAAGATTGTAGCCTTGGAAACCCTATGAAGCAGTTCTTTTTTCTATAGGGTAATTATATGGAGGAATTGACTCGATGGCAGTGAGTATGTAGAATACATTTGATTCTGGCTGAGCTTACATACACCACAGTCACACAAAGTATAAATTTGCTTGAGTGGGAAAATACTAATCAGTCCCAGTTTAAAAATATATATAATAACTATATTAAATCAAATTTTAAATTGTGGTGTCTTAAGTCCATTGAAATTTCGCCTTTTCAGGGTTGTAGATGTAAATGTACAACTTTTGAAAAGTGTGTTTATTACTTATTGAAATGGTAACTGTATTCTTTGTTTTATTGTAGATCTTATGTCTTCAGTCATCCGGCATGGTCCAACAATTCCAAGACGAACTGATATCTGTCTTCCAGATTCAAGCTCTAATGCCTTTTCAGCTTCTGCAGATGGAGTAGTTTCAAGAAACCCGAGTTTCCTTAGAACTCCAATTCAAAGAACACCTCATGAAATAATGCGAAGAGAAAGCAACAGATTATCTGCACCTTCTTTTCTTGCCAGGAGTCTAGCAGATGTCCCTGGAGAATATGGCTCTTCTCAGTCATTTTTAACAGATGTTAATTTTGCTGTGGAAAATGGAGACTCCAGTTCCCGATACTATTATTCAGATAATTTTTTTGATGGTCAGAGAAGACAGCTGCTTGGAGATCGTGTACATGAAGACTATAGATATTATGACTACAACCATGATGTTTTCCAAAGAATTCCACAGAATCAGGGGAGGCATGCTTCAGGTGACTTAAAATTATAAATATATTAGTTTATATTTATGTTTATTGATACTGCAGTCAAAAAGATACTCTTTTCTGGGTTTGGGAAATCAGCAATGCTTTTTCATACCATCATTCTTGCTAAACCTAAGTTGTAAATAGTTACTAACCTATATTGGATGAAAGAATTCTTGTGTCCATTTATTTTATTACCTTGTGTTATTATATGTACATGGTTCTTATCTCAAAACTATCTGGACTCTTTATCACTATGAGCCTTGAAAACATGAATAATTTTATGTCTATAGTTGGATTGAATTTAGGTGTAAGTTTGTTAGAATGGGAAGGTTTGGGCCTCAGAGAAACTGGTTTTAATGGGAAAAAAGGCTACAAAGAATTGGGCATGCTTAGTGATACCATCCAAAAAAAAAAAGAAAGAAACCAACTTATAGGCAACTATTATTAATAATATTCTATTATTTAGACAGAACCTGTCCTTTTCCTCTTTGACAGAACTATTTTAGTAGCCTGAAGATTATTTCCCAAGTTGGTCAAAAAGATTTATTTTCAAATAGTTTTTTGAGGCAAGCTGAAAATTAAACTTACTCTTCTGATTGTTTTTTCCTAGTAAGTTTAGGTCTTAAATTTTGGCAGAATAAAAAATAAATACATAAAATAGCTTTACTTTTTAGCCTATATAACCTCAAATAAGCAGACTTTAAAAATAGTTTAGTGTATAAGTATTTTGATTGTAGAAAATATTTTTTTAGATTTATTTAATATTAATTATTTATGCATCTAACATTTTCCTTGGCCATCTTGGTCTCTGCCCTTTGGTACCTTATTTGAAGAAATAATCACAGAACAATTAATTGTTAACCTTTATTATTTATTTGAGTCAGAAGAGAGAGCTCAGGGCAGGCTGGAATACCTAGAAATGATTCATGGAAGAGATGAGACTCAAACTAAGCTTTGAGTTGGATTTTGGATTAACAAGTGGCAAAAGAAGGACATTTTAAGTGGAAAATTGGGAATAGCTTGGTGAAATTAGGAATAGGCATGGTATATCCAGAGGACAGTGTATAGCTCTGCCAGGTTTGAAGAGGTATGATGTAAGGTGGGGTAGAGGTTTGTGGTCCAGCAGTTAAGCTATAGGATTGAGATTTGAGTTAAGCAGAAGCCATTTCACAAAGACTGATGATTTTATAAGGTGCTTTGGTGGCATAGTGGTTAAAGCATTTGGCTACTAACTATAAAGGTTGGCAGTATGAACCCACTAGCCACTCCACATGAGAAAGATGAGACAGTCTGCTTCTATAAAAATTTGAAGCTTTGGAAACCCTATGGGGCAGTTCTACCCTGTTCTAGAGGGCTGCTATGAGTCTGAATCACCTTGATGGCAGTGGGTTTAATGATTTTATGAGAGCAACTTTTAAAGAAGATTGTTGTTGTTAAGCGCTGTTGAGTCGGACCTGACTCATGGGTTTCTTCTTGGGTTTCTGAGGCAGTATCACTACAGAAATAGATTGTCCAACCTTCCTTCTGAGTGGCTAGTGGGTTTGAACCGCTGGCCTTCTGGTTAGCAGTCAAGTGCCTTAGGCACTATGCTACCAGTTCAGTAGTATTCAAAACAGATTCCTAGAGAAAGAGGATTATAGGTACCAGTGGTAATGGCGAGGAAAAGCAAATCTGTGATTATTTTGAAGGGAAAATTAAAACTTAATTATGAGTTTCCCATCCCAATTGTCATTGAGTCCATTGTGACCCATAGTGACCCTGTAAAACCAAAAATACCCCACACTCACTGCCATCAAATCAATTAGGCTAGCAGCTGAGCACTTAACCTGGCTACATAACCAAACAAAAAACCAAACTCACTACTGTTGAGTCAGATCCAACTCATAGCAAGCCCTCCTTGGGTTTCTGAGGCGGTATCATTATGGAAGTAGATTGCTCAACCTTCCTTCTGAGGAGTGACTGATGGGTTTGACCCTCCAGCCTTCTGGTTAGCAGTCAAATGCCTTAAGCACTACACCACCAGAGCTCCTTCCTGGCTACATAGGAAGTAATAAATAAATGGTTGAATAAGTGAATGGATCTGGAGGTTTCAGAGCTGGAAACTCAAGATGATTTTGATAGCTGAGAGGGATTAGTAATAATAGCTTAAAACAAATCTGTTCAGTTAATAAAGATTATTTGTTGTTCTTTGCATTCACCTTTCCTAGGTATATTTACATTGCAAACATCAATCACTGATGATAGTACTTTTCAACCTGAAATTTAAGTATATCAATACCAAAAACCAAACCAAATTCAACTGCTGTTGAGTTGGTTCCGAATCATAGTGACTCCTCCTTGGGTTTCTGAGATGGTATCTGTATGGAAGTAGATTGCCCAATTTTCCTTCTGAGGAGTGGCTGGTGGGTTTGAACCGCTAGCCTTTTGGTTAGCAATCAGATGCCTTAGGCACTACTCCACCAGAGCTCCCAAATAGGAAGAATTAATAATACCAAATTAAGATACCAAATTAAGATACTGAGTCACAAAATATCATTGCCTTTTAAGACCTTAATCTTTACTGATATTCTCAGGAACAATCTGACATAATTTTTGGAATCTTAAAGATAAACAATTTTCCAATCACAATTTAGAAATAAATAAAATACAAGTTAATTGGATTCTTTTTCAAATTAAAGAATAATAGTTTTAAAAATAAGACTTAAAAACTTAATAAAATTAATTTTTATCAAGGCAGAATAAATGTAATGTAAAGTTTTTTTGTTAGTTGGCATCGAGTCGATTCCAGCCCATTATCATCTAGGAAAAAAATAGTACTTCTATGAAAGATTCTATTAAGTGTCTGGGAAGAATTAATTAATTGATTGTAAATTGAATGAAAAGCCTAAAAACTCTTTTCCCAGATGGGAACAATCTGAATATGAGGCAGTAGCTGAAGTTTCTTGAAATCATCTTGAAAAGACTAGAAACTTGTATTTTCAAGATTTATGCTGGAGGGTTGAAGGAATTTGGGTGAATGGAAAGGAGAAAGTTAAGCTTGTGGAATGGCAGTTGGTGGTGTGGAATTTACTCCAGTAAAGGCATAAATACTTAGTTAACCAGGATCATCTTTTTATAATGAGTTGTATAATCATTAGAAACATAAATGTAGTGTAATATTATTACAGACGTGAGAAGGCAGTTGCTTTGGTTCAGTACTTAAATCAACCATGGCTATAACTGTTACTAATTAGGAAAAATGTATGGAATAAAATAGTTTTAATGCTTAATGACAGTAGTAATTCCTGCCAGTTAGTTATTACTTAGATTTTTTAGGAAACGCCTTTCCTCAAGAGTTAACTTCATCCTAACTGTATTTAGTAGAAGCACAAAAACAAGTTAATAGTATCTTTTATTTTATTTTTATTGTGATTTGGGTGAAGATTTACAGAGCAAATTCACTTTCCATACAGCACTTCACATACACTTTGTCTCATGACATTGACCACAATTTACCACAATGCAACAGCTCCCCCCACACTTCCTCCTGATCATTACCTCTTCCTTGTGTCCATCCCTCCATGCCTTCCTGCCCCCTGACCTGTCTCCCAGTGCATAAGCAGCCTTTCTTTCTCCCATGATTGTTCTCTCCAAGGAATGTGTCTACCTCAGGTAAATGTTCAACTCATATGCCTGTCTTTTGCTTGACTGAAAGCCACAGGTATGGGTTCAGTTCCATACCTGATGGGCAGCTAGGGGCCATAGTCTCAGTGGTTCCACCAGGCTCTATTGGACCAGCAAACCTGGTCTCCCCTCCCCCCCCTTTTTTTTTCTCCAAATGGTTTTGAGAGAAACCACATTGTTCTCCCTCTCTATCCAGGATCTCCTACATAGATCCCCTTCCAAGTAGTTGACATTGGTAGCCGGGCACCATCTAGTTCTTCTGATCTCATACTCTTATAAGCTGCTGATTGGATGGTGTATCAGTCACTAGGACTGATTGTATCCATGAGTGTTTGGTTTTCTTCATTCTTTGCTCTGGATGAGGAGAGACCCATTGTTGCATCTAGATGGCAGCTTGCAAGCTTTTAAGATCCCAGTTGCTACTCACCACAGTAGGAGGTGGAACAATGTTTTGTGTAGTATGTTATGCCAATTGATCTTGATGTCCCCTGCGACTATGGTCCCGAGTGCACAGGTTCAAGTACTTGGTCCCTTCTTGGTAGCCGGCTGTGACCAAGCATTGACTACCACCTTGCCTCTTGTCAGCTCTACTGTACACTTGGGAATTCAGATCATACACATAAACTTACAGGACCATTGTCTGCCAACCCTATACATGTTCTTGGGTACACTCCCTGCTTCATAGACATACCTAATAGTTCAGCCTGTCCACCCATCTATCCACTCATATACCCATGTCTGCCTTCACTGACAAAGCAGTACTGTATGTGCAAAAGGGTTCATTTTTGTTGTCTGTACCTCCCATGTACCTCTCTCTGTCTTTCTCTTCCTCAGTGCCACCATATTGATCACTCATATTTGGTGTATTGCCCTTCTCTTCTCCCAAATCAATACTTATCTCTATCTATCTAACAGTGTTCCCTCCCCTCCCCTCCCCTCCCACCCCTGGTAACCAACAAAGAAAATTTCCTTCCATAGATAAACTTTTCCTTGACTTTTTACAATAACGGACTAATACAGCATTTGTCCTTTTGTGATTGACTTATTTCACTCAGCATAACGTCCTCCAAGTTCATCCACGTTATGCAGTGAGAAACAAGTTAATAGTATCTTAAAGGGCTTTAGGGCCTACCAAGTTCTGCTTTAGCTGTGGAATTCGACCTTTAACAATTTTGGCCATCATACTAGTCAAGCACTTACTGTATGTGCCAAAGGAAGGAACCCTGCTGTTAACAGGAAGTCTTTAGTTGGAATACTAAAGGCAGAATGAGTCCCTTTGTTTTGCACTTAAATATTTTAGTTCTTTGGAGTTTTAAGATGACAAAAGAAATTGTGAAAATCAAACTGAAAGTATCAGGCTTTACAAAAATATATAGGATTTATATTCTAGTAAATGCATAGTTAACCACATCGTTTGATGAGGTGTTAGATAATCATTAGTGACATAAATGTATCTAATTTTTTTTGCAGGGAAGGAGGGAAGTCAGTTGGCTTGGTTCAATAATTAGATCTCTTTGTCAATGATGGCTATAATGTTTAGTTATCTATTACTATAGACAAGATTGTGGAACTTCATTAGAGTTCCAGATTCTAATTTATTTTTTTGTAGCTATCATAAAATTAGGAAACCAGAATTTTTTTTATCTTTAAGGACAGATCTCATAGTCATTCTGGTTGTACAATATTATCTTTGAGGGCATATCTTGAAAGCTTGGTAGAAAGGCCAAAAACTTCCCTTTTTTGGGGGGAAATTGTGTGTTTAGTTTATGAATATTTTACTTTATTTTATATGAGTGGAAGGTGTATGTGCAGTTAAAATTCCTACAAGTAAGTTGTTTTGAGGATTATTAATGAATGCCACCCATTCTTTTCCGGAGCTAATTGAAATTATGGAAGAATGTTCCCTGTAGCTCAGAAACTGAAATTCGCATTTGCTATACTGATTTACTACAAAATTGGTAGCGTGTTTTTTCTTTTATTAGTTGCATTTACATGTCTTTGAAGAATTACGGTTGATCTTTTATTGCTAAGATTATGTGTTTCGTAATAAATTTGCCATTTGACTTATGTCATTTGTTTGACCTTTGGTAAAATAAACCTTTGTTTCATCTATAAATTAGTAGCGCTAATACTCTGTCATAGTGCTGCTTTGAATATGTAATAGGACATATGGAAAGGGCCAGGGACATAATAGGCACTCTATCAGTGCTCATTCCCTTTGTAAGAGTGTTATGTTATCTTCTCTGCTTTTTCCAGATTTGGCATGTTTGGTTATTGAAGTTTCAACTTTTTGGCTGAACTTAGAGTGGAGGTATGGTGTGTCAGAGTTTGACGTAGCTTTTTTTTTTTTTAAATCTGCTAGACCTCTTTTATTACTGGTAATGCGTTAATGTTTCAGACCAGTGGTTTCTAATCTTTTTATATTGTACATGCATTTATCAATAGATTTTATAAAATTACCACAAACAATAATTTAAGAAGTTAGTCCACATAGCACTTTCAGAAAGTGGGCAGAATGTCACGAAATAAACTAGTATATCTAAAAAGGTTAGGAATCATGGTTTTACTCGGCATTGATACAGCTGGTGAGTCTATTTGAAACTTTGAGAACTTCATGGCTTTTTTATCAAATTGTTAAAAGTTTAGTTCTGAAAATGAGAATCCTTACAAGACTAGTCTTTGTGCTTCCTTTAAACATGAATTTCAAATTTATCCTAGTTCAAATCTGGTTCTTGGTCCCTAATATTGTTTGTATGTCAGAATACATGTTTTTCTAGATTTAAGCAAGTTCAGTATATGGAAATCTGGATTTTTTAAACAGAGAAATTGTCACAAACTTTAATAACTCTCAAAGCCTTTATAGTCTTTAATTATGTATGATAAAAGCTTTTGTTTTTCATAATGCTATTTTTAGAAATCTATTTATAATAAGGGGATCTCTGTCCAGCCAAAATGTTATGATTCTTACATCGTTGCATGCTGTTGAGTCAATTCTGACTCATAGTGGCCCTATATGAGAGACTAGAACTGCCCCACAGAGTTTTTTAGGCTGTAATCTTTATGGGACAGATTGCTAGATCTTTTCTCCAGAAGAGCTATTGGTGGGTTTGAACCGCCAACCTTTTGGTTAGCAGCCAAATGCTTAACCATTGTGCCAACAGAACTCTTTGCTTGTCTATATGTATCTATATCTATGAAAGATCCTGCTGGGATTTTGATTGGATTGCATTAGAGTTGAACATCATTTTGGGGAGAATTGGTAACTATGTTGAGTCCTCCAATCTATGAACAAGATGGGTCATTTTTCATTTCTTTCACCAGAGTTTTATAGTTTTCTGTATACAGATCCTGCATATGTAAATTTTTTTGAGCTATTATAAATGGCATTATTTTAGTAATTCTTGTTTTCAATTGTTGTATAGATATTTTGATTTTTGTATGTTAATCTGTACCCTGGTACTTTGATGAACTCACTTACATAGTTCTAGCACAGCCAATTAAGAAATTGTAAACCTAGAGTGATTTACATGCTCATATTTGTTCTTTTAGAAGAAGTGTCAAATCTTAAATCTTGAAGGAAAATGAGGTGAAATTTTCTTTTTCTCATTTTCTCTTTAGCAGTGTACATTCTTAAGTAGCCTTGCTACTAGTTAAATATTGTATGGCCTAGTGATGGGGAGGTATCAACCAAAAAAAGAAAAAAATGTATTTGAAAACTAGGTCCTACTTCTTTTTTGTATTTAAACAATAGTTAATACTAGCTATGCTTTATTCATAATGACATATTTCTTCTCTTTTTTTCCTCCTCAGGTATTGGGAGAGTTGCTGCTACATCTTTAGGAAATTTGACTAACCATGGTTCTGAAGATTTACCCCTTCCTCCTGGCTGGTCTGTGGACTGGACAATGAGAGGAAGAAAATATTATATAGATCATAACACAAATACAACTCATTGGAGTCATCCTCTTGAGAGGGAGGGGCTTCCTCCAGGATGGGAGCGAGTTGAGTCAGCAGAATTTGGCATCTATTATGTAGACCACATAAACAAGGAGGCTCAATACGGGCATCCCTGTGCTCCTAGGTAGAGTATAAACTTTATTTGTAACTTTTTGTTTTGAGATTGTCTGATGTTAGATTTTGGACTCAGATATTTCATTCAAAGAGAATGGGATCTTGAAGCTTGAGATTGGAAAACCTTATTTTTCAAAGTTTATGACAGTTTCTTCTGGACTTTGTAATGTATGACTTTAGTAATTTTTTTAAAAAAATCTTTCTTTTTAAACAATCTCAAAAACAGGATCATTGTTCTTATGATCAGATTTTTTAAGATGCCAGAATGTTTTTGCTATAGATATCCAGAAATTGAAATACAATATCTGCCTGTTCACATTTAAATTCCTATAAATGAGATAGACCTATCTCCTAATAGGTAAAAATATATACTTTTGAATTGTAACATCTTGCTATTTTTATTCAATTCCAGACATAATTTTATATTCTGTTTCTTACTGTTGCTAGGTAAGAAAGCAGAAATTGGGAATGGATAAAGTGTCCCAGATCTGTAATAAATGCAGCCTTTAGGCTGTTTTGTTAAATACTGGGCTTATCAGTAGATTTAATTAGTGACCAGACTTTTAGCCCTGTGCTGTCCAGTGCTGTAGCCAGTTGCCACATGTGGCTATTAGAGTACTTGAAAGGTGATTAATCCTAATTGACTAATTGATGTGCTGTAACTAAATACACACCAGATTTCAACAAAAAAAGTTAGTATTAATATCAAAGTTGTGAATATTACGAAGTAATTAAATCTGAGCTTCAAGAACTGAGCCGTAAGATTAAAATGGGTAAAATATTATCAGCATGTTGATAGATGTTATTTAGTATCACCTGATATATAATAAAGATCTTTAGTTATACAAGTTGTAGTTTTTAGAACTATTACAATCATCAGGAAAGTACTTTTAAATATTATCACCTAGAAACTTTATTTTTATTGTGTTGCTTATGTAATAATTTACATACTTATATCTGATTCAAGAGCTTTGGTAACACTGTGATTAAAGCATTCCTCTGCTAACCAGAAGGTTGGTGGTTTGAACCCACCAGCCAACCTGCAGGAGAAAGATGAGGCAGTCAGTCTGCTTCTGTAAAGACTTAGAGCCTTGGAAACACTATGGGGCAGTTGTACTTTGTCCTATAGGGTTGCTATGAGTCAGAATCGACTTAATGACAGTGGGTTTGGTTTTGGGGGTTTTATCTGCTGATTCAGTTTTGACAATTTTTCCCAGTGGTTTCATTTTGTGCCACTCAATCAGTGTTAACTGGAACAAGTGAGATTATAATTTCTTCCAGATAACCAAATATGTGATGAAGCAAAGGTCTTCATGGACCAACCAGATAACCAAATAGGAGAGTATAATGAACTTACTTTTCTGTTCATCCTTGTTAAACTTACATTATTATAGATAGATTTTTATATTCTAACAAACGGTGGCTGCGATGATGGGCTCAAGTATAGCAGGGATCATGGAGCTGGCATGGGATCGGGCAGTGTTTCGTTCTGTTGTACATGGGGTTGTTATGAGTCAGAGACGACTGGACGGCACCTAACAACAAGAAACAAAATATTTTCACTTTGTTCATTTGCTTCTTTCCTAAGCTTAGGGTTAGCTTTCTTAAGTAGTGTTAATAGCTAGTTTTTATGTAAAACTCTTGGCTTACATTAGTATATTTAATTCTGAGAAAAACCATCTGTGGCATGAATTTATTATTCCTGTTTTACTAATCAGGATGCCGAGGCTTACATGAGTCAAGCAGTTTTACTTATGTGCATACAACTAGTAAGTAGTCAAACTGAGTTTAAAACCCAGGCATACCTGACTGTAATTCTTTCATGACCTGTGGGACGTATAGTGCTCACCTACATTTTATGCTTCTAGAGTTTATTGGGAAGCTTCTATACCACTTTTAGTGTGTATTACCATCTGGTAGGGGCCTGTATAATTGTATGAATCTGAACAAATGGGCCTTATCCCAACAGCACCAGAGACTCCTTGGGACATATGCGTCCCACTAATTGTATCAGAATTCAAATTACCTCAGGAAAAATTTTTTTCAATTTATTCAAAATGCCTTCCCTTTCTGAAAACATAGGGTTTCAACACAAAATTCAAAGCAGAAGTAATCCAATCTTGAACAGGTTAAAGCCTCAATCATTCCTCACCCCCCAGTTATCTAAGAATATGTCACTTGGACCTACTTATGAAAGAAAAATTGTAAATAAAATTTAGTGCCATCTGCACTTGATCTTTAAATTGTTAACCACATTCTAATCTAACCCTTACTTTAGTCTCAGTTTAGTGTTACAGTGCCATTTTCTGATTCACTCATAAATCTTTACTTTTAGAGGCAGATCCCTTCTAGTTTTAAGTATGGAATAGATCATTTTGACCTCCCAGAATTCAGCCTTTCATTTTCAGGTGCTTTAGTGCTTCCTTAGCACTTTTGCACATAATGCTCCCTGTCTGCCCCCCACCCCTTTTTTTCTATTTCCCCCTCCCAGCCTCTCAGTATACACAGGCATGTATAATGTATACTTCAACTAATTTAAAGCATGATCTTTTTTTCTTTTAAGCCTCATTATGATTTAAAATATGTTCTACTCAAAGGAACCCTGGTAGTGCAGTGATTAAAGCACTCAGTTGCTAAACAGAAGGTTTGTGGCTTGAACCCACCAGCTGCTCTTCAGGAGAAAGATTGTAGTAGTCTGCTTCCATAAAGATTTACAGCCTTAGAAACCCTGTAGAACAGTTCAGTTGACTTGATGGCAGTAGGTTTAGTTTTGGAATCAACTGTGTCTTAATTATCTAGTGTTACTGTAACAGAAATACCACAAGTGAATGGCTTTAACAAACAGAATTCATTGCTTCACAGTGTAGGAGATGAGAAGTACAAAGTCAGAGACCCAGCTCTAGGACAAGACTTTGTTTCTCTGTGTCTCTTGGTCATTGGAGGATCCCAGTGCAGGGATCCTGGGTCCAAAGGATGTGCTCTACTTCTGCTCTTGTTTCTTGGTGGTAGTAGTCCCCTCCTCTCTGTTCCCTTCTCTCTTTTTATCTCTTGTTAAATAAAAGGTGTTACAGGCCACACCCCAGAGAAGCTCCCCTTTTATGGATCAGTGTTGTGATGGGTCTAAGAGTGTCTCAACCCACCCTTAGCTTACTCCTTTTACACCTGATTAGCTTATCACATCAGATCACATCATGGAGTATCAGTACATACTTGCCACATTATGTCATTACATAACTTCTAAACCACTGAGAATCATGGCACAGCCAAATTGACATGAATTTTGGGGGAACACAATTCAATCCATGACAAACTCTAACTCCCATTTGCTCTCTTAAGGTAGTCAAAGTAAAAAGGAAACATTACAGTGAATGTGAATTTTTATATTTTTATCATTTAGTGCTGACCTCCCCTTATTGTATATTCCCCCAAGTCAGTACATATCTGCCCTCTAATGATTTACTCTTACTTCCTCTCCCACCCTAGCAGCCTTCAAAGAATGATTCTGTTTGTAAACATTTTTGACTTTTTACAATATTTGTCCTTCTGTAATTGACTGATTTCACTCAGCATAATGTTCTCTGGGTTTATCCATGTTATGAGATGTTTTACAGATTCATCATCATTTTTTAATGTTGCATAGTATTCCATTGTGTGTATGTACCATAGTTTATCTATTCATCCATTGATGGACACTTGGTTGTTTCTGTCTTTTTGCTATTGTTAATAATGCTGCAATGAACATGGTTGTGTATGTATGTTTGTGTCATAAATCTAAATTCTCCAGGATATATACGTCGTAGTGGGATTGCTGGATCATATGATATTTCTGTTTCCAACTTCTTAAGTGCCATAATGTTATCCACAGTGGTTGCACCATTTTACATTCCCACCAGCAGTGTACATAGGTTCCAGTCTCTCTACACCCTCAGCAGCGTTTATTTTTTTCTATTTCTTGAACTTTGCCACTAATGCTAGGGTTAATGTGGTTATTTTAAGCACAATACCCACCCATACTGAACTGCCTATTCTCACACCCCTTTGTGTCCTAAAGGAGAAGGAAAATACCCATTCTCCTTTTAAAATACTATTAATTTTTCCAGTATGAATGGACAGCTAATTACTAATAATTAACTTTCTTTTAATACTAGTTTTAAAAATCTGTGGTAAAGTTTACAACTTAGCCTCAATTTTTTATAGCTTTCTTTGAAACTGTTCTTTAAAAGAATAAGGATCAGCCAGAAAAAAATTTCATAAAAATATGTAATGATTTAGCTTAGGTTTATATCCATCACTAGGGGCCTACTAGTTTTCAGAAGAAGATATATTTTACTTCCTTATAGAATGGTAATGGAAGCTATAACCTTTAGAGGTTGTCTTTATGTGGTAGAAAGGCATTAGTTGGGACAGACAGGATATATACTGAAACAAGCTTAAATATATTTCTTTATAATTTGTTTATGCTAGTTTATTCTTTCTTCTTAGTGTACCTCGGTATGATCAACCTCCTCCTGTCACATACCAGCCACAGCAAACTGAAAGAAATCAATCCCTTCTGGTACCTGCAAATCCGTATCATACTGCAGAAATTCCTGACTGGCTTCAGGTTTATGCTCGAGCCCCTGTAAAGTAAGTGAATTTATAACAGAACATTTTATTGAGGGGTGAATGGAGGACTGAATGGAGTTTCTAGGTTGCTTAGCCAATGTGTGCCATTTTTTTAGGCTGCTTAGCCAATGTGTGCCATTTTCTCTCTTAATAAAGGATAACATGTTTGGTAGAGTAGAGGGTCAGTGAAAAAGGGACAACCCTCAATGAGATGGACTGACAAAATAGCCCCAACAGTGGACTGAAGCATACCAACAATCATGAAGGTGGCACAGAACCAGGCAGCATTTCGTTCTCTTTATATATTAGGTCACCATGAGTTGGAGACAGCTCAATGGCAACTTGCAAGGAAAATAGCTCTTCACTATTTTATTTAAAGAAAATGTCTCACAGTTTGGGTAGGTTTGAACTACCAACCTTTAGGTTGGAAACTAGTCACAAATTGCTCCTGCCACCCAAGCTTCTTTGTTATGTGTATGCTGATCCTAAATCATATATAATTTGTTTAAGTGTTTATGTTTTCTTGTAAGTCTGGAAGAATATGTGCTCAACTGTTAATGTTAGTTACAGTTGGTAAGATAGGGGAGGGTTATTTTTTTTACTTTGTATTATTTCTATTCTGTAAACTCAAAACTCACTGCCATCGAGTTGATTCAGATTCACAGCGACCTCTATTGGATTTCCAAGGCTATGAATCTTATGGAAGCATATTGCCTCAACTTTCTTCTGCAGAGTGGCTGTAGGTTCAAACCACCAATGTTTTGGTTAGCAGCCAAATGCCTTAACCACTACACCACCAGAATTCCTATATCTACTCTATGGTCATTTTCAAAAAGAAATAACTTAGTAAGCTTTCCTTTTTTGGGAAAAAATTAGTTCTTAACTTAAATGGAACTTCTGATTTCTTATGAAAGAAACAGAATCCTAAAAATCACAGTTCTTTCCAACCCTATGGTTCTGTGTGCTAACTATGGAACTTATGGAAAGTAGTAACAGTCTTTTTTCAGGTTGAAGCTTAATCTTATCTGGGAGGTCAGAATTCTTCCCAGAATGAGCCAGATTGAAAAAAAAAAAGCAAGTACTTCTTCATTACGTAAAAACTTAAGCCAGAAACTGGAAGCCTGTTGCTTTTTAGTTGACCTAAACTTAGTATGGAAATGGTTAATATTGTCTGTCAACAAAGCGTGAGCTGTCTGCTACATATTAGATCATGGAGAATCAATCACTTATCAAAAAGATAAGTTTTGGCCAAAAATTAGCTTGTTTTTTCCTTTTGTGTTTCAAACATTTGAGAAGTTTCTAACTTCCTGAAACTCTTCAATTTCATCTCTAGCAGTAATTTACCAAAACAATTTTGAGAGTTAGAACTTCCAGTTAGAACCTGATTAACAGAGTATATCCTAAGATTTTATATAACTTCTGTAAAGTTGTATTTTTAAGCCTACTCAAAAGTCTATAATGCATAGTATAACTGTAATCAAGCTGAACTGTGAATAAAATTACAAAATTTAATATTAATAGGAAAAAAAACATCAGGAACACATTTACTTTCCATTATTTCTCATATACACTGAACCCCCCCCACACACATATATACTAATCCGAATAGAGGCAACAGGGCAAGGGCTATTTTTATGCCCATATCTTGGCAGTCCCACAGTGTGACCACTGACCCAGCCATCTATCTGGTTGTAGGTAGAAAGGAAGGAAGAGAAGGTATAATGATTGGAGGATAAGGAAGGACTTAGGCTACATTGTGGTACCTGGATCTGGGGATTGGGGGTCCAAGGAAATATATTTACCTTGTGGTTTTGTATATTGTGTTCCTGATAGTCCTGGTACACATAGTATGTGGCTCATACTAGCTGCTCATTATAATTATCTTTTTTTAAAAAAAACTTTTTTTTACATTAGATAGATGACCCTTTGGGATAAGATGATAATTATAAACAGCAAATAATTATTTACATAAATAATTACCAATTATTAAATAAGTATTATAAAAATTATTTAAAATTATTAAATATTAAAATAATTATTAAAAATAAATCTACTAGAATTTGCATCCAGTGCAATATGATTTGAGAAGTATAACTTCAGTATCATATAGGTACATGCTTTGCTATATACTTCAAGATCTTTGTATAGTCTTAATAGATATTAACATTCAAAATCACTACTCTAAAGCGTGTTGGTCCATAGTTCCCTGCCTTTCTGAACTTTCATCCACTGGCTTTGCTTTTATTAGATTCTGATTTTTTTCATCTGTAAAATGAGAAAACGGGATTAGAGTGCTATCTCTAGATCTCTTTCAAATCATAGTTTAAATTACTGATTGCAAACCTCTCTCTCAGAATGTGATCTACTTACCATTGAAGAAGGACTAACCAAAAATCCAAACTCACTGCTGTCAAGTCGGTTCCAACTCATAACGACCCCTCCTTGAGTTTCCGAGGCGGTATCTCTACGGAAGTAGATTGCCCAATCTTCCTTCCAAGGAGGGGCTGGTGAGTTTGAACTGCCAGCCTTCTGGTTAGCAGTCAAATGCCTTAGGCATTATCCCACCAGAGCTCCTAAGAAGGACTAAAGACCTTCTAAATATAATCTTGTGGGAGTCCTTTCCCACATTATGGAGTCTTCTATAATCATCTTACCCTCTGATTTTGAAAGAGCATATTTTTTTCTGTCTGAATTTTTTCTTTGTTAGCTTTAGTTAATGACATTTCAAGTTAGAAAGCTTTGTCAACACTGGTGGCTTTGCCCACTATCATTTGCAAGCATGAGGTGGTCTAAAGTATTCTTAATTCTTGACAATTACTTTGGATTAACTGATGACTAGCATAAAATGTATTCTTCGAAATTATATAACTGTGTTTTGAATTTATGTTGATAGTTGTCTAGTGTTAATATTAGAATAATTAATACTTAAGATTAAAAGAAAGGGGTATTTTTAAATTTACACTGAAATGAAGTAATATTAGCATTTTTCTCCTCTCCGTAAAGAACAGTGTACTCTATTTAAATAACAGTTGGTAATTCAATTATTTTTAATTAAAGTTTATGATTTGTTAAATTATAGTAAAGCCGATATTTATAAAAATAGACCATTGTATGTATTTTGAACATATCTATGACTGTGTTTTAAAACAGATATGACCACATTCTGAAGTGGGAGCTCTTCCAGCTGGCTGACCTGGACACATACCAGGGAATGCTAAAATTGCTTTTTATGAAAGAACTGGAACAGATTGTTAAAATGTATGAAGCTTACAGACAAGCTCTTCTCACAGAGCTGGAAAACCGCAAGCAGAGAAAGCAATGGTATATCCAGAAACATGGCAAGAAGTTTTAAGTTAATTTTTTTAAATAAAAATGCAAGTTTTGTAACAGCTTTAAACTATTTTCACAGATAAAAAATTGCAGACAAGGACTTTGTTTAATAAAGGCAGCTTACTTTTTTGGACGTTATAAAGTTGTAATTTTATCTGTATTTTGTTATTAGAAATGTTATTTTGTCAAACAGAAAAAAAATGAGTATCATTCTAAGAACCAACATTGCAGACACTTCCAAATGCTATATAATAGGAAACTGCTTTGAATTTTTTGATGTAGACAAATGCAGCAAAAATGGTCAGTATACTCAGATATTAACTAGGAAATGATTACTTAGTAATCTCTTACACTAGCAGTACCTTTTTTTTTTTTTTTTTAAAGATCTCTCACAGTAGTAGTATTTTTCTTTTAAAGAGAGTCTCTGCATTATCTAAAGGAAGATGTTTATTGCTTTAGTATGTGGAGTATTATCTGTAGTGGGATGGTTCAGATATTACCATGGTGCAGTTCAAAACATAAAGTAGGATTTGGAACCTTACTGTGATAAATTTTTTATGTAATGTATGGGTTTCCCTAAACCCCCCCCCCCCCACACACCAAAAAAAGATAAAGGATTTCAAAGTGTGTTGAGAAAATATTTTCTGGTATGAAAGGGCGAAGGGCCTATAATATTTTAGGACTAAATTTAGACAAGGCTCTAGCCCATGTAGAGAAAAATGTATAAGGTACTCCAAGTTGCTAACCAACTTTCATCCAGGGCTCTTACTGCATTTTGCATGGCATTGGTGAGAGTGGAGGGATCCTGACAGCACAGCATACTGCCATTCTGACAGACCAGGTTAAGCTGCCAAAAATGACAATCAGGGATTCAATAAGAAATCTTGTTCATTAAATTGATTTTACATACTTTTCAATCTTCTAAGAGTTTGTCACAGAACTTTGAAACCGTGTATTGCCCTCCCAGGTTTTTTCTTTCTTTTGGTTTAATAGTTGTCCAGATATTGTTCCTAATTAGTGCAGTCATTTGATTGCAGACACATTTATGGCATTTGTAGCCTATAAATCTTTAGAATTTGGTGAATTTTAACATTAGTTGAAGTAGCTCTTTAGTTTTATTTACATGTGTTGTAAATACGAAAATATATTTTTAGTTTAGGTAGTCTTCAGAAATACAAAGCACTTCCAGTTACATTATCTGTGAGTTTGAATTATTGATAAAGTGTTGACAATGTTAAGTGTTTGATTTTTATATGACAAGCTTATTAAATATATTTTTGTGAAAGTTAAATATCTGTCTGGTTTTTGAGTCTGTATTTTAGATACAGTGCTATAAATATATAATGTTTCCATGTAGAAACATCTATTTAGATGCTTTCTTTTTAGATTTATTTCTATTTAGAAAGCCAGTAGACAAAGAAAGAAGTATATTTAAAAAGGTATTAAAAATGAAGAAGAAATGGCTAGAAGAATTTTATCAGTGGAAGAACATATTTTGCTGGGCTCATGACCAAGCTTTTCTAAGAAAAAGCTTATATAATTACAAATGAACTCTCAAACGCTCTATCTTAATTATTCTTTCCTATATTACTCTTTATATTACTATTTAATTAAGGCATAGTCATTTCTAAGTAAGTTAGAAGTTAGTGTTTGGCCCTCCTAATAAAAGGCCTTACTACTTTATTTTCTATCATAACATTTTTCTTTTCTGTAAAAGGTCTGATCAATGAAACTTCATTAGAGATTTTATCATTAGAGATACAATATAGAATCACTGGTTTAAAAGAACTCGTAGGTACCTAAAGAGATTAGCATATGTTCTCTAAATGGAAATTTAAATTTGTGGTGGTGTCAACATTAAAAAAAATCATTTTGAATTAAAAAGAGAAACTTTTTTCATCATTCTATATCAACACCTCCCGAACATTTCCAAATTCAGTAAGCATTTGTTTTTAATCTTAGGAACGAAAGTAAACTTTAATAATAGTTCATATGTTGAAGGAATAAAACTGTAAAGGACACATTTTTTAGTGTATCAAATGAAAAAAATATACAATGCAGTGAAACTCAAATACACATACAAAGCAATTTTGATACATTTTTTATCAAGATCTTTATATTCTATATTAAATCATAATGTAAAAGAAACAAGATATAATTTTTGACAAATGAAAAATTTATTTTAACTGTATTTTAAAATAACTAAGACCTCATAGTATATGTAAGATGATACAGACTGAATCAAGCCTGCTGGGTTATGATGTATGACTTAACAAACTGACTATATGAAATAATTTTAAAATCTTTCTGTAGAAATTAAATGAGCATATCCAAACATGGAATGATATTACTACATAGTTTACTTATAACCCAGTAGTAGTAGTAATTAGTAAATTCAAGCAAAGCACATGTACTGTCATCATAAATAGACAAATAACTTTAAATTATAACAGCATATTTGAAGACAAAATCAGGAAACAGTACTTGTTAACAAAATGATATAACCATGCATACATACATCTGCTTATTAAATACTGAAAAGTCAACTAAACCATTATGCAGTCTTCACAGGTGTTTTACTGTGGATGGTAGTATTTTGAATGTTTGCATGGAGATACAAAACTTAATATTTAAATGACAATTGGTCATGCACCTGTATTTTTAAAAATTTGATTACATTTTCTTTTTTTCTGATTCTTCAGTAGATTCTGACTTTGGTGCAGGAAAAGCATGATGATACAGATGTCTGTGAGTTGCTGCTGCACTGTACAGCTTGTATAAAGCCTACAAGCACAAGAATCAAGATTATGATACATTTTGTTAAACACACATAAATTTTCCATCTTTAGAGTAATGAATTTAATTAATTTAGAGTAATTAATTAGTATATAGTATTGTATAAAATTTAGCATGCTAAACTTGGAAACTATTATTAATCTATGTAAGATCTAAATTAATGACTAATTTCTTATTTCAGCTCTCCAGTGTGTGTGTGTTATTCTCAATTTTTTTTTTAACCTTGCCTGTTACTTAGAATGGGAGCTCTGGTGGCGTAGTGCCTGAGGCACTGGACTGCTAACCAGAAGTCTGGCGGTTCAAACCCACCAGCCACCCCTGGGAAGGAACACTGGGCAATCTACTTCCTTAGAGATACCACCTCAGTAACCCAAGGAGGGTTCCCTATGAGTCGTATCCGACTCAACGGCAGTATACAACAACAACATTATTCCCAACCAGTATGCCCCAGGGGAGTGTTGGGAACTCCTACTATGAATATTCTCAATTTTAGAAGAATTACAAGCATTTATAACATCTGGTTGCTATTAGCTACTTTAATATACATAGCTAGCCCACTTGCTCAAGGCTTTCAGTAGTCTCTCCAAAGTGTGATCACTTTTATTTTACATCATTTTCTGATACAGTCATGTAGCTAAGCAAGTATGCTGCCCCTCACCCCGCCACCCTGTGATCCTGCATTTTACCTGCTCTTTTGCCTTGTTTCCATCATGAGTTTGTATCATACAAAACCTTACTCAGAAACATTACCTTGGAAAACTTTCCTTAAAAATATCTCTATGATTGTTCTCCACAACCTTTTAAGTGTTTGAATCATAAGAATTTTTACGTAATGTATATTGCTGTATGCAAGTATCCATAAATATTTTTATGTTTTTATTTTTCCCTTCAAGCTAGTATCTAAGGCATCTCCTCTTCTGACGTTTTCACATAATGAGCACTCAATAAAGATTGAGTTGTCTTTGAATATTTTTTTAATGCATTTTATTGAAATATAATTTATGTACAGTGAAATATACAAAACTAAAGTGACATGGGTCACTGCTTTCTTTTTTTTTTTCTGCTGTGTTCCCTCCCCTCCCATCCCTGGCAACCAACAAAGAAAGTTTCCCCTCCTGCACAACAATGAACTAATACTATATTTGTCCTTCTGTGATTGACTTATTTCACTCAGCATAATGTCCTCCAAGTTCATCCATATTATCTGGTGTTTTTCAGACTCTACATTATTCTTTAATGCTGCATAGCATTCCATTATGTGTATGTACCATAGTTTGGTCATCCACTCTTCTGTTATGTATCTTAGAGATAAGTCCCTTGCCAGATAAGTAACTATTGGCAAATATGAATTTGTTGCTGTCATTTTTGTTACGTGCTTTTTCATGTTTCCTGTTGTTGTTAGGTACCATTGAATCTATTCCAACTCACAATGACATTATGTACAACAGAATGAAATACTGTCCAGTCCTGCGCCATCCTCACAATCATTCTTATGTTTGAGCCCATTATTGCAGCCACTGTGTACATTTATCTCATAGAAGGTCTTCCTCTTTTTTGCTGACCCTCTACTTTACCAAATATACTGTCCTTCTCCAGGGACTGGTGTCTCCTGATAACATGTCACATGAAACAAAGGAGCTTCTATGAGCATTCTGGCTGTACTTTTTCTGAGACAGATTTGTTCATTCTTCTAGCAGTCCATGGTACGTTTGCTATTCTTCACCAACACTATAATTAAAATGCATCATTTCTTCTTTGGACTTCCTTATTCATTGTCCAGCTTTCATATGCTTATGAGGCAATTTAAAATACTATGGCTTGGGACAGGTGTATCTTGGTCCTCAAAGTGACACCTTTGCTTTTTAAAAATCGAAAGAGTTCTTTTGCAGCATATTAGCCCAATGCAATGTCATTTGATTTCTTGACTGCTGCTTCCATGAGTGTTGATTGTGGATCCAAGTAAAATTAAATCCTTGACAACTTAAATCTTTATTTCATTTATCATGATGTTGCTTATTGATCCAGCTGTGAGGATTTTTGTTTACTTCATGTTAAGGTGTAATCCATACTCAAAGCTCTTTGATCTTCATCAGTAAATACTTCAAGTTCTGTTTCATTTCAGCATTCAAGGTGTGTCATCTGTACATTGTAGGTGTTAATGAGTCTTTCTTCATTCCTGATGCCACAATCATCTTCATATAGTCCAGTTTTTCGGATTATTTGCTCAGCATATAGACTGAATAAGTGTGGTGAAAGAATACAGCCCTGACACACACCTTTCCTGATTTTAAAACATGCAGTACCTCCTTTTTCTTTCTTTTTTTTTTTTTATTAGGATTTGGGTGAAGATTTACAGAGTAAATTCACTTTTCATATAGCAGTTCACATATACTTTGTCTCATGTCATTGACCAAAATTTACAATGCAGCAGCTCCCCTCCCACTTCCTCCCCATAGTTACCTCCTCCCAGTGTC